CCTACGTTGATCGCTGAGTGATAGAATGGTACAATGTGGAGTCGAGTTCAAGAGCGGTGGAGCGGCACAGCCGTGCATCACTCTGCACGACCTCCTGCTTAGACAGCCCTCTTCAGAGCCAGCCGGGTGGAAATTCCACATTCCTGTGATGCGGGAAGTCGAGCCTGGTCCATAATCAACTATTGACTTGCCATAAAGTGGTACCGATTTTATCGACCCCCGCCCAACCACCCTCCCACCCGGTTGAGAGGGAGGGATGATGATGATGATGATGTTGTTGTTGTTGTTGATGATGTGCTGAGTCGAGCCACCCACCCCTAACCGGGACTTGAACTTACGACCCCTGAGTATTGCAGTGAGCCACGTGGCCCGGCAGCATTGTATGCACGTCTGTTACAATGCACCATGTAAGCCATTGGTCACAGGAGACGATGACAATGTTTAATAAAACGTGCTGTTTTAATCATGTCATCCGCCTAATTTGATATTGCAATACAGCACATAGTGGATGTATCATGCAATGCATGTAGAATGTAATCCGTGTATAGTACAACACAATACGTGTGTGATGTAATAATTGTATCATACACATCAAGTGGGTAATGCAATACGCGCGTCGCTCAATGTAATACATGTATACTATAATACGTGTATGTTTCAATCAAATTCATGTATAAAAATGACACGTGCATCGTACAATGTAATACATGTGTGATCTAATGCGTGTATAGTACAATGTAATGCATGCGTACTATTATACCGGCATCGTAGAATGCAATACGTGTCCAATATAATACGTGCAGAGTACAATGTAATAAATGTATAATATAATACGTGCATAGTACAATGCAATAAATGTATAATATAATACGTGCATAGTACAATGCAATAAATGTATGATATAATATACGCATAGTACAATGTAATACATGTATGATATAGCACGTGAATAGTACAATGTAATGAATGTATGATATAATACATGCATAGTACAATGCAATAAATGTATGATATAATATACGCATAGTACAATGTAATACATGTATGATATAGTACGTGAATAGTACAATGTAATACATATATGATATAATACGTGCATAGTACAATGAATGTAATGCATCATATAATACATGCATATAACAATGCAATACATGTATGTAATGATACACGTATATTGTAAAGCAATACATGTATAACATGGCTGTATTTACAATGCAATTGTATGGTACAATACAATAGTCGTGTAGTGTTATTGTCTCGTACAATGTAATTCCGTAGGAAACTAAATATATAATCATAATATAATAAAATGCAATTGTTTATATACTGACACGAATTCTATGGTGATCTGAAAACGTGTGTCACATAATGAATATATAATTGCAATGCATTGCATAACATTGTATACCGATATTGTAAGATATTTCATACGAATTTTGTATACTGATATTGTATAATATTGCATACGAATATTGTATACTGATATTGTGTAATATTGCATACTAATATTGTATACCAATATTCTGTACTAATATTGTATACCAATATTGTATACTATTTTATACTGATATTGGTATACTGATATTGCATACTAATATTGTACACTAATATTGTACACTCAATATTGTACACTAATAATGTACACTCAATATTGTATACTGATATTGTATACTGATATCGTACACTCGTATTTTATACTGATATTGTACACTCATATTTTATACTAATATTGCATGCGAATAATTGGGTCCATGCTGATGCAATTGTCCACTTCACGCAAGGCCGTGGCGGCGAGGCAATGTTTTTACAAAAATACAATCTTGGGACTTGGATTTGCTTCAATGCGGAGAGACTCACGCTCAAATCCACGTGAAACACAACTCCGCGGGCTTAAAGCTACACGATATACAAATACATAACAGGGCTATAAAGAGAAGGCCGTTTGCCCCGAAATGTCGGCCTATCGCATATTTGTATTACTTGTTAAAGCCACTCGGGGTTGGTGTTGTTTTTGTTATTGATTCTGCATGCGTATCACCGGCAAAGCAGTAACAGGAGAGACATCGTCGCCGGAGAATAATTTACAATCTCACACACACACACGCACGTATATATATCGATATAGTAGTATTTGTATATCGTTGCAGATGGCTATATTAACCGCACGGTAACAGCGTGCCATGCTCAACAACCACCACGCAAAAATCACATCGCTGTCAAAACCCAGACGCTTCACGCCGTAATTCTTGCACGGGCAAATCGAGTGTTCATCTCCGTACGGCGTTTACGGACGTTTCGATACTGGCAGAAAGAAGAACCCCTCCCCCACCATACACGATCATCGTGCCGATGTGTTCGTGTTCCTCTCCTTACGATGGGACTTTGTAGGGTGAACGTTGAGATTTATTGGGGGGGGGGGGGGGGGGTGGGGGGCACGGGGATGACCAATACGGTCTTATCTTCTTTGGTTCTTTCGGCAAAGTCACGTAGAATGAGAATAAAGTAATACAATAAAATAACACAATAAAATTATCACGACGTTTCGGCCACAACACAAGTGGCCTTCTTCAGGTGAAAGGAACAAACCTGTCGTGACTTTACCGAAAGAACCAAAGAAGATGAATCCTTGCGGTCACGAAAGCTTTAAATCGAAATACGGTCTAAATTGTTCTGTAATAAGGTAGGGCAATGATAAGGGGTTGACGGGCATGGAATCATAACTGTGAACACTCTACGATACCCACGCGTACCACTGGAATATATCAGGCAAATGCACGTAGATGAATATATACATACATACACAGTATATATAACTATAGCGGACTAGCAGCCATGCGGTGGTAAACGCGTTACGAGACGAGAGATGGAGCGCTTTAAATCGGAGTCGCGTTGAGGAGTGCCTTGGGGTGGAGCGTGCCAGGAGGAGGAGGATGATGAAGAGATGGTGGTGGCTGGGTATAGGTGAGGGTAGAGGATTTCATCCAGCAGCGGAGCGAGCACGGTAGGCGCTGATGTTGGTGACGCGCCGATGAACGTCGTGTTGAGCGTTTGCGGGTGATTGTGACACGGAGCGCCGTGTGTACATGCAATGTACTTACCATGCACATGTGTGTGCATGTGTGACATACAATACATGAACTACTATGCACACACACACACACACAGTGCACGTACAATACATATACACAGTACAATAGTACGCAGACGAAATATACACGCAGAACAATCAGACGTACACAGGACACTTACAATACATAGACACAGTGCAGTACACAAACAGTACACATACAACGCGCACACACATGGTGCAATCGTACGTGCACAGTACACGTGCCATGCATACACGCAGCACAATAACACATGCACAGAACACGTGCCATGCATACACGCAGCACAATAACACATGCACAGTACACACGCAAAGCATACACGCAGCACAATAACACATGCACAGAACACGTGCCATGCATACACGCAGCACAATAACACATGCACAGTACACACGCAAAGCATACACGCAGCACAATAACGCATGCACAGTACACACGCAAAGCATACACGCAGCACAATAACACATGCACAGTACACACGCAGCACATGCACAGTACACATGCCATGCATACACACAGTTCAATAATACATGCACAGTATACACGCAGCACAATAATATATACACAGTACACACACAAAACACACATACACAGTACAATACTACATACACAGTACACACGCAAAACACACATAGTACAATAATACACGCACAGTACACACGCAAAACACACACACAGTACAATAATACATACACAGTACACACGCAAAACACACACACAGCACAATAATACATACACAGTACACACACAGAACACACACACAGTACAATAATACATGCATAGTGCGCACACAGAACACACACACAGCACAATAACACATACACAGTACATACAAAGCACATACACAAAGCACAATAATACATGCACAGTACACACACAAAACACACACACAGTACAATATTACACACACAGTACATACACAGCACATACAGAGAGTACAATAATACCGCACAGTACACACACAGCACATATACACATCACAATAATACATACACAGTACACACACAAAACACACACACAGTACAATAATACATACACAGTACATACACAAAACACACACATCACAATAATACATACACAGTACACACACAAAACACACACACAGTACAATAATACATACACAGTACACACACAAAACACACACACAGTACAATAATACATACACAGTACATACACAAAACACACACATCACAATAATACATACACAGTACACACACAAAACACACACACAGTACAATAATACATACACAGTACACACACAAAACACACACACAGTACAATAATACATACACAGTACATACACAAAACACACACACAGTACAATAATACATACACAGTACACACACAAAACACACACAGTACAATAATACATGCACAGTACACACAGCACATACACACACAGTACAATAATACATGCACAGTACACACACAGCACAATAATACATACACAGCACATATACACAGTACAATAATACATGCACAGTACACACGCAAAAACACACACAGTACAATAATACATACACAGTACACACACAGCACAATAATACATGCACACGACACACACAAAACACACACACACAGTACAATAATACATACACAGTACATACACAGCATATACACAGTACAATAATACATGCACAGTACATATATACCGCACAAACACGTGTGTGTGCGCGCAGTACATAAATACGCGATGTACACACACACACAAGCGCGTGCACACCCCTATAAACACAACACGCGCACGCGCGCGCATAACACAGATCGTGCGTGTTTATGCTACATATATATGTGTGCGTGCGCGTGTGCGCGTGCGTATGTTTGCAGTGTTGGGTGCATCACGGTGAGTAAGAGGCACACGGATTCGCGTTCTATCCTGTCGCGTCTCACCTGCTTGGTGAGTGAGTCCCGTGGTGAGTCGACGAGGGGGTTGGTGGGGTGGTGAGTCGTCGGGGTGAGTTGGTGAGTCGTGGTGGCGGGGTGGTGTCCTGCGAGTACCCTGAACTGCTTGTGAGTGAAGTCGAAAGCATCAGCTGCGATTCCTGACCCCCCACCCACCCACCCAACCCACCACCCCCCCACTTTTCTCTCCCCCCACCCACACACCCACCCTCCATCCCGTCCCATACCCTCACCCACCCACCCACTCACTCTCCCACCCACCCACTCACCCACTCACCCACCCACCCACTCTCCCACTCTCCCACCCACCCACTCACCCACTCACCCACCCACCCACTCTCCCACCCACTCACCCACCCACCCACTCACCCACCCACCCACTCTCCCACCCACTCACCCACTCTCTCACCCACCCACCCACCCACTCACCCACCGACTCACCCACTCACCCACCGACTCACCCACCCACTCTCCCACCCACCCACTCACCCACTCACCCACCCACCCACTCACCCACCCACAAAGACAAAAGATCTCCCCGCCCGCACGGACTCCACGGGCAGTGGGGGCAAGTGCTGTTCGCGAAAGCAGCGCCGATGGAGGCCCGCACGGCGCACGGCTTGTCAAAAAACGCTAACCGGTAACCGTTTCCTCGAATCGGCTAACCGGTTTCGGGTAAGCGACCAGGAATCGGTGGATGTTTCCTCTTGGGACGTTACTTGGTCACGGACGTGCAGATGGGCGCGCGCCTCTGTGTGTGTTGTAGAGGTCCTCCCGTGGAGCCTTTAGAGACTATTGGGGCAAGTGCTGTTAGCGAGCACCTATGAAGGCTGCCGGCACTGTGGCACACGAAGAGGGTGGCGTGGCCAGCAACCACGCCCGGCCGCCTTTGTCTCCCCAATGGCGATGTTTTTTTTTTATTTTTACACACCACCGCACCAGGTACCCATTTGAGGCTGAGTCGACTTAGAGGGAGGCTCCAGGCCCCGTTCAGATGTGGTCCGCGAGCGGGAAATCGCGCAACGGCGCTAACCGCTGCACCACCGCTCCCTACGAACACGCGCGTGTAACACACACACACTCACGCACTCAACACGCACGCATATACAAAGACGAAGATTACACACACACACGCATATACACTCAACCACACACACCCACACACACGCATATACATACCCACAAACACACGCATTTACATATACACTCACCCACACGTCAACGGAATACACACGCGCATACACATACACACACGCGTTTACACACTCACAAACACACGCGTTTACACACTCACACACACACGCGTATACACACTCACAGACACACACGTTTACACTCACACACGTATACATACCCACAAACACACGCATATACATATACACTCAACCACACACACCCACACACACGCATATACATACCCACAAACACACGCATATACATATACACTCAACCACACGGTAACGGAATACACACACGCGCACACGCACACTCACACGCGTATACACACTCACAGGCACACGTGTAGACACACACACGCGTTTACACACTCACACACACGCGCGTATACACACACACACGCGTTTACACACTGATACACACACGCGTTTACACACTCACACACGCGTATACACACACACACGCGCGCGTTTACACACACACACGCGTTTACACACACACGCGTTTACACACTGATACACACACGCGTTTACACACTCACACACACGCGCGTTTACACACACACACACACACGCGTTTACACACTCACACACACGCGTTTACACACTCACACACGTTTACACACTCACACACACGCGTATACACACTCACACACGCACGCGTATACACACACACACGCGTATACACACTCACACCCACACCCAAATACACACCCACACACACAGCAACCGAATACACACACACGCGCATATCCACATAAAGTCACCCCCACACGCGTACACACGTTCACTCACCCAAACAACAACCAAATACGCAACAACCGATGTTCACCACGAAGTGGCGGTGACGTCACCACGGCGCTTGTGCCAGGCTAGGTGTACCTACGAGAACACGTGAAGCGTCGCAAGGCTCGTTGTTGGCAGGAGGTCACGGGACAGACCCAGGTGCCATGGGTTGACTGACACTGTGCCAACCAACTCTCTGCGTTTTATCCGCCCGGCGATCCGCTCGTTGTTGTGAGCGTCGCTCCTCCGCCCTTCGCTATTGCTGGAGGGCGACTGCCTCCAACTGCCCAGCAGCAGCAGCGGCTGCAGCGTCCTTCACGAGCCTCATCCACAGAGGCCGATCTTCACACCGCTGGTACCGCTCATCGGCGAGTCCACTCAGCTCCACATCCTCCTGTACCACATCAGCTCCATCTCTTCTCCAGCCAGTTTAGCCCCCGTCTATCCGGCCAAACAGAAGCTGCTTGGGCATGCAGAGCGTCTCCAGATCTTCCGCAACTCCGATTAGCACGGTCGGCTAGGTACGGTGTGAAAGAAGTTCAACACACATAGACTCAACACTACCCATAGACTCAACACTTCCCATAGACTCAACACTGCCCATAGACTCAACACTGTCCATAGACTAACACTACACATAGACTAACACTACCCATAGACTAACACTACCCATAGACTCAACACTGCCCATAGACTAACACTACCCATAGACTAACACTACCCATAGTCTAACACTACCCATAGACTCAACACTACCCATAGACTCAACACTGCACCTCCGATTAGCATGGTCGGCCACGTACGGTGCGAAAGAAGTTCAACGCACGTCCACAAAACCCAGCCTGGTTTGAGGCGTCCACGATGGATGCTCGGCAAGCCATCGTGGACGCGTTAAACCGGCACAGATGTCCCTCCATCCGCGGGGGTGTGTGGGTGTGTGTGTGGGTGTGTGGGTGTGTGTGTAGGTGGGTGTGTGTAGGTGTGTGTAGGTGTGTGTGTGTGTAGGTGTGTGTGTGTGTGTGGGTGTGTGTGGGTGTGTATGTGTGTGTAGGTATGTGTGTGTATAGGTGTGTGTGTGTGGGTGTGTATGTGTGTGTAGGTATGTGTACGTGTAGGTGTGTGTGTGTGGGTGTGTGTGTGGGTGTGTGGGTGTGTGGGTGTGTGTGTGGGAGTGTGGGTGTGTGGGTGTGTGGGTGTGTGTGTAGGTGTGTGTGTGGGTGTGTAGGTGTGTGTGTAGGTGTGTGTAGGTGTGTGTAGGTGTGTGTGTGTAGGTGTGTGTGTAGGTGTGTGTGTGTAGTTGTGTGTAGGTGTGTGCGTAGGTGTGTGTGTAGGTGTGTGTGTGTAGGTGTGTGTGTAGGTGTGTGTGTAGGTGTGTGTGTGTAGGTGTGTGTGTGTGTAGGTGTGTGTGTGTAGGTGTGTGTGTAGGTGTGTGTGTGTAGGTGTGTGTGTAGGTGTGTGTAGGTGTGTGTGTGTAGGTGTAGTTGTGTGTAGGTGTGTGTGCGTAGGTGTGTGTGTAGGTGTGTGTGTAGGTGTGTGTGTAGGTGTGTGTGTAGGTGTGTGTGTGTAGGTGTGTGTGTAGGTGTGTGTGTGTGTAGGTGTGTGTTTAGGTGTGTGTGTAGGTGTGTGTGTGTGTAGGTGTGTGTGTGTAGGTGTGTGTGTGTGTGCGTAGGTGTGTGTGTGTAGGTGTGTGTGTAGGTGTGTGTAGGTGTGTGTGTGGGTGTGTGTGTGTGTGGGTGTGTGTGGGTGTGGGTGTGGGTGTGTGTGTGTGGGTGTGTGTGTGTGGATGTGTGTGTGTAGGTGTGTAGGTGTCGGTGTGTGTGTGTGTAGGTGTGTGTGTAGGTGGGTGTGTGTGTGTAGGTGTGTGTGTGTAGGTGTGTGTGTGTAGGTGTGTGTGTAGGTGTGTGTAGGTGTGTGTAGGTGTGTGTGTAGGTGTGTGTAGGTGTGTAGGTGTGTGTGTAGGTGTGTGTGTGTAGGTGTGTGTGTAGGTGTGTGTGTAGGTGTGTGTGTAGGTGTGTGTGTGTGTAGGTGTGTGTGTAGGTGTGTGTGTGTGTGTAGGTGTGTGTAGGTGTGTGTGTGTAGGTGTGTGTGTGTAGGTGTGTGTGTAGGTGTGTGTGTGTAGGTGTGTGTGTGTGTGTAGGTGTGTGTGTGTAGGTGTGTGTGTGTAGGTGTGTGTGTGGTTCCGCGTTTCGCAAGCGCAGCGAAGGGAAGTTCATCGCCGTGCCAGGAGGAGACCCCGAAGCATCGCGTGGAGGGAGCCACAGACCGGGCGAAGCTTTTCACGCAGCTGACGGATTCGGAGGGAGACCCTCCGCACACATAAACCCGTAAATACACACACATACACACACACATACACACACATATACACATATACGTACACACATATATACACACACGTAAATATACACACGTACACATATATACACACACATATACACATATACGTACACACATATATACACACACACGTAAATACACACACATACACATATATGTACACACATATATACACACACACGTAAATATACACACACACACGTAAACACATATATACACACATACATATATACACACACATATACACATATATACACACACACACATATACACACATACACCCGTATACACACATATACACACATATATACACACACACACCCGTATATACACACACATGTACACACGTATATACACACACATCCACACATATATACGTACGTATACAGCGCAAAGACAAAGATCCCCCATATCGCCTTTAGCAGACTGTTGGGGCAAGTGCTGTTAGCGAGTCGGCCCTTCATAGGGCCTCGCAAAGGGGTGTGTGGCCAACACCACGCCCGGCCGCCTTTGTCTCCCCAGTGGCGACGTTTACTATACGCCGTACCCGGTAACCCATTTGAGGCTGAGTCGACGCAGGGGCGGCCCGGGGCCGGTTCGTTTGATCGTGGCCGGTGTTGGCCGCGAGCGGGAATCGAACTCGGGTCGCCGGGGATCGTATCGCCTGCGCGCTAACCGCGGCGCCACCGCTCCCCATCGTGATGTAAAGACACTCACACATCTAGAACACTCACCGACAAAGACAAAGATCCCCCGTGTAGCCTTAACAGACTGTCAGGGCAAGTGCTGTTAGCGAGCAGCACCTGTGAA